TGTTGCCACAAGGGGCATGTCACCTCTGAACTCTCAGAACAGTCCCAGTTCACCTGTCTCTGTTGCCAAATTTGGGTCAGACACAGGGATCATGTGGGGCCAGGTCTGTTTTCAGGTGGCTGACAAGGCAGAGCTCCAGGTGAGGGTGATACTTCTGATACTAGTTTGCTCCCTTCCTCAGTTTTGAGCTCTTATTCCTCCATTGAGTTCACACACTAAAAGAAAGCATGAAATACTTGTCCCAAAGGAAGTTCTCAGTAGATAGAATTCTCTTCATATACAGACTAAACAATTTAGTAAGCTTCTTATCTATTTTATTCCTAGGGACACTAGGATCAACTAGCCAATGCCATAGTTCTGCATGAATCACACTATTCTGATAATTGTCTTGATTGCTGTCCAATATTGTAGCCAGACCCATCTTAACATTGGCAGTTGAGTGCCACACACTTGGCTCCTGTCACTCTGAGATTCAATGGCTTCCATTACACTTATGTTTCTCAATTCAGTGAGTGCAGCAAGGTCCAGTCTACAGAGAAGAGCAATTGCAGAGTTCTTTACAGCTCCCCTCACAAATATCTCACAGTGTTGGTGAAATGTATGTCTTATGGACTCTACAAGTTGGGGTAAGTCTTTAATGATAAATCCCCTCTACATTTCAATCTCCTTGAGCCTTTTAAATCCCATCTTCTCCATTAAACCAAGTCCTATCCAGCATTTCCAGTTAGCTCACTGTGGGCCACCTTTGATCCATGAGTTAGCCGACCAAACTGTTGGAGCCTTCTCTAACTCCCTATGTCACAACATTAAAGGCAGAATCATCTTAGTGTGCCCATATAAATATATTTGCTCTGATCCAACTTTAGGTATCTTTCACTATTATCTATATCCTTTTTTTTATTGGCAGGGGGGGCTGGGGATTGAACCCAGGGCCTTGTGCATGTGAGGCAAGCACTCTACCGACTGAACTATATTCCCCAGCCCTTATTTCACATTCTCAGTATCCATTCTCATATGTGTTCCCCAGTGTAAAATTTAAAAACTCAAGTAGTTCTTTTGGGCTATAGCACATTTCCTCTTGGGGTAACTTTGTACCTCATCTTTACCCCAGTCTAGTTGTAGATCTAGAAGTAGAGAGGGATCCTAGGGGTGGATCCTGAGGAGAATCAGCATGGCAACTGTCTCAGGAGGGCCATTGTAGTATCCTTAGGCAATGCAGGGTTTATCTCCTTAAATGGAGATAAGCGGGCCATTTCCATTGCCAGAGAAGACTCATTAAATTTAGGGAATCTATGTCCACAGCCTCATCAGTTCTCTCACACTTTATCATCTCAACTTACATCATCAACTTCTTTTCCAATCAATGCTTTAATTTTAAAGTAGATTCCCTGTGAGGTTAGGAGTTCAACTAGTGTTGTAACTCAGCTAGTTATGGGATGAAATTCTCTGTTTAGTTTTTGGCCTGGAACTACAAGAGATAAAGGTCTCCTTCAGGGCATATGAAAAAGCTCTTAGGTATGTATGCAGCTCTAGAGCTAGGTATTTGAATCCTTGAGCTCATTCTTTTCTTTCATCCCCCTTCTCAGAGACATCAGGAGCAAATAGCTAATCTCATATTCATTAGTTTTGCGAAAGTGTTTAAAAGTAGCACATACATAGTTTCACAACCCCTTGCTTCTTGGAAATGGTTGGTTAGGAGTCTATAGAGGAGATATTTTGCCTATTTCCGTTGTCATATCATGCCATGTACTACTACTGTTCTCTTGAATATTGATTGGAAATAGAGTCATCAATGTCTTTAAATATATAATCAGGTTAGAGATCTAGTTCCTCAAACTCCAGAACCCATACAGGAAATTTTTTTAAAATTCTGGTCCTTTAGAATCATCCTCAGTATGAAAATCTTTGTTAGTCAGCGTTCTTCAGAGGAAAAGAATTAACAGGAGGCAAATTAAATATACCGAGAAGTCTCATTATCTGCCACCTGCAAGCTGGGGACTCAGGAAAGCTGGTGGTTTCAGTCTAAGAACAGAAAAGAACAGAAAGAGGGCTGGAGTTGTAGCTCAGAGGTAAAGCACTTGCCTAGCATGTGTGAAGCACTGGATTTGATTCTCAGTACAACATGTAAATAAATAAAGTTTCACTGACAACGAAAAATAAAATAAAATAAAGTAAATTAAAAATATATATATATATAACAGAAAAATGATGTTGTAAGTTCCATATGAGGGCAAAATAAGACAACATCCAGCTCAAATAGTCAAGCTGAGAGAAAATTCTTTCTTCACTTTTTTGTTTTAATTGGGTCCTGGGCAGAGTGGATGGTGCCCACCCATGTCAGGAAGAGCAATCTGCTTTACTCACTCCACCAACTCAAATGCCAGTATCATCCTCAAGCACCCTCACAGATATGCCCAGAGATCATTTTTAACATCTATCTGGGCACACCATGACCATATAAATGAATCATCTCAAGTCTCATTAGCCTTCATGTTAAATAGATCCTTTTGTAGAAGAGATGTCGGATGACTCCAGATATATCTGAGCATATCTCCTACCTTTCAGAAACTATTTTATTTTATAGATACAGAAGATTCAACATTCTGTAGTTGGATTCATACTATATATGCAATTTTTTATTCTTCTTCCTCCTGAACTCATTTAATTTCTCAAAATTCATGACCTATCAAATATAGTTTTCATTTAAATTGCAAATAGCTTTTCATTAAAATTACAAAATATATAATTTTCTATTCTAAATAGAAAAACCTATTATTATGAGCATGATTGCAAGAGTCACATACATCCAGAGTACTCAATTACCTTTAGTGCCAACTTTCTCAATTCCAGCTTAATTGTTCATGATTTGCATCAAGCTGAAATTAATGTAGCTATATCACACTTTCCATCTGACAATAAAAGTACTTAAAACCTTTCTGGGCCTTTAATTAAATTTATCAGCACACATACATGTTGCTGCAATTCTAATCATCCTAAAAAAAAAAGCACAAATAATTATACCACTTACTATGTTCCAACATCCTGCTCTCAGCATTTAGCATATATGTGAACTCATTGAATTCTTCACAACAATTCACATGAACCCTTTTCCAGAAAAGGAAGCAGAAGGCAGTAACCAGCCCAAGGTCATTCATTAGTCAATGGAGACCTCACCTAGGCTGTCTCTGCTATCCTAGGCAAAGTTTTCGTCTGTGAATTTCTGCATCTTTCCCCATCTGTAAGAATATAGCCACAAATGTGGTGACTGTGTTTCAATCATAGTCTGCTCTCTTTTTTTCTCTGCTGAAAAATTCCTGAACCTATTTTAGAAGTGAACTTGCACTGTGCCTGAACACCTGGTGTCTTCTGGTGCAAGGATGTCCTGGAGCCTGGCAAACCCCCAGAGGTTGTGAATTCAATTTCGGTAGACTCCTTGGGGTGACACTCAGGCACATCTTTTGGGATTCTTGCCCCATAAAATGTCACACAGTCCAGGTTGGGCACAGTGGGGGTCAGCGTGTAGGCAGCTGGGAGGATTTATCAGACCTGCACGGTAAGGGTAATAAGGCTTGTTCTGCCTGTTTGGTGTGCAGTTGTTGTAACTAATAATGAGAGAGAGAGACAATAAACTGGCTTGGAACCCAGCAGAGGAAATAGAGTCTTTTGAGATCCTGGAGAGCTTCATCTCCCAAAGCAGCCTAGTTTAGATGCCAATACTCATGAGATCTGCATGGGTCTGGGGGCACTTTTGTGTAGACAGCAATGGTAAGGAGGTGCTATGGTTTGGATATATGTTCCCCAAAGGCCCTGTTGTTAAGGGCTTGGTCCCCAGGATGTTGCTATTGGGACATGGATATCTTAGTGTTGTAGGGACAGATGAAACAAGGCACCCAAGATAGCAGGAAATGGTTTTATTTGGCTACAGCCAGGTTCAGAGGGCACAGTTTTTGCTGTAATCAATCAGTCTCCTGAACCCTGAGTTCAGGTAATTTCAGATTTTTAGACCCAGCATGTAAGGTGAGAGGCTCAGAAGTTCACAGTCTGTAGAAGTTCACATAAAAGCAGTTTTTTTCTTTCACTATTCTGGGCAACACCTGAGAAGGGGAGAGCGTCTTCTCCCCTTTCTTTCCTCCTCCTGCCATCTGTTATCATGGAGCCCAATTGGCAACTTCTCTTATCTTAGGAATGTAGACATCCTCTGTGAAGCCCAGCTCAAGGCCAGAGGCTTTATTTACACATTTCTACAAACTACTATGCTGGATACATGTTTGTGAAAAACTAGTAACTGGGGTGCCTAGCACCTGGAGTGCTGATTTCTTCTCGGCCAGTGGCCAAGTAAAACAGGGCAACACGAAAATAGAAAGTTTATCTACATTGAACTCTTTTGCAGAGACTCTTTTGCTGACAGTCCTAAAATCAACCATGGTGAATATTTCTGTGGAGAAAGGGGGTGTCACTATATTAGGAGATAGGGCCTTATGGGAGGTCCTTAGGTCATTGCCCTTGAAGAGGACTATTAGGCTCCAATCTCTTCCTCTTTCCTTCTTGGTTTGTGATGCAAGTTGTTTTTTTTCTGCCATACATTCCTGGTATGATGTGCCTCCTTTGCCAGAGGCCCAAAGTAATGGGTCAACCAGTCTTAAACTAGAACTTACAGAACTTGTGAGCCAAAATAAATCCTTTCTCTTTATAGGTTAATGATCTCAGGATTTTGTTATGGTAATGTGAAGCTGACTAATGCAGGGTGCCACTGATTGTCAGATCCTCCTGCACTGAGATGCAAGCACCTGGTACACAGAGTCTTCCTGCTCTGTGTCCTTGGCCCCTGTCCCAGTCATTGGGTCTTGGCTTCACTTTCTTGCTCCTTCTCTATACAATCTCTTATCTCTACTATAAGCAAGGCCTTCCTGGGACAGACATTGTCTTTGGGTTCTTGACAGCTAGTAAAGTAGATCCACAAACACAAAAAAGCCCCACAATACAGAGCAGGGGTGATAGGGACAGCAAACAAGGCCCATAGAGATCAAAGAGGGATAGACTCCCAGCTGAAGGAGTTAGGGGAGATCTCAAGAGAAGTGATATTTGGACTGGGCTTTCAAGGTTTAGATATTGCAAGTGGGGGACCTGGGGTGGGAAATCACAAGAGAAGAATGTACAAGAGGAATGGTGGGTGGAGGGGGAAGCCAAACAGACAAGTTGGAGCAGTTTGGTGAGGGCTTCTTTCATAGAGGACTGAGGACCCCAAAGCTCAGAGCTGAGAGATGGCCTGGGCAGGGGTTATAACACTTGAGCAGTTCCCAGGATGATGTCTGGCTTTCTTTGTTGACAGTTCTATTTCTGTGTCTTCTTCTAGGCATGAGCATCAGGAGGACAGGAGTGTGAAGATTGTCTAATGGTGTAAGGGACCTAGGGTGGAAAGAGAAGACCCACAATCAAAGTGAAGACGAGATTGGTGGGAGAAGGCATATATGTCATGTCTTTTGGGATCAGGACAATAGCTAATCTGATGCTCAGAAACTAGGGCACTACCCAGGCTTCTCTCTTCCTTCACCCCTCATAGTCAATAGATCACTGTGTCCAGCCAGTTATACCTCCTGCAGAGCTATTTGGAGTTTAACTCACCTTGGTTCTTTCCTGAGCCATGGCAGCATCTTCCTGATACCCCCCACCTCTCTGCCTCCCGGTTTTCCTTCCCACACAGCTGTCAGAGAAGTCTTTCTTGTATTTATTTGTGATTATAATATTTCTATGTTGAACATTCTTCAATTGAACATTGCTGCAGGCTGCAATCGGAATTTCTGTGACAAGGTAGACAAGGCTAATATTCCCCTACTCACCAATGTTTATGTTTCAGTTCAACTGGATTCTTTGTATTTTTCTAGAATATACTCATTGCCTAGGTATTTAAACGTTCTCTGCCTGCAAACTCTCCTCCCACCTTTTCTTCCTGGTAAACTTCTATCCAACACCACTTTATTATCCAGGGAAGTAACTTTTATAGTTCAGTTATACTTCGCACAGGTTTGTCATCATCTATATGGAAGGGCATTTAATAGGGAGAGAACTCATTGTCCAGCTATAGACACATGGTGAGTTGTCCATTCAGCTGAGGTCACATCCTTTTTAGGGAGGCCTCTCCCACACCTGAACAAGGCAGTGTTATAAGGGCCTTTCCATTTCTTCCAGTGGCTGGACTTCTCAATGGGCAGCCTTTGCTCTGTACAGTCTCTGCTTTGCCCAAAGACAAGGTCTGTCCCAGGAAGTGGCTTGCTCAGAATGGGGTAAGAGATTGTACAGGGAAGGAGCAAGAAAGCAAAACTGAAATGCAGGAATTGAGACAGGGGCCAAGGATACGGTGTAGGAATACCAGGTGCTTGCATCTCACTGCAGGAGGATCTGACAGTCACTGGCACCCTGTATTAGTCAGCTTCACATTGCTATAACAAAATGCCCGAGATAATTAACCTAGGACCCTGGAGAGCCTCACTCCAAAGAAAAGCTCAGTTTAGATACTAACAATTATGAGGTAGATACTAATACTAGCAATTATCTTCGGGTAGATAAAGCCCCTAACTTTAGCTGAACTTCTCTGACCCGAGAGCCTGCCGAGGGCCCACTCTACATCCGAGAGCTCACTCTCACGTGGAAAGATAATGCAGAGGTCTTTCCCCACAAGACAACACCTTCTGTCCTGGCTGTCCTTCACAATCCACATCCTTGCATATTTTTACTGGGGATATGCTGGTCCAGTGAAAAAAGAAAGGGACTATACCCCAAAGAGGCTATAAGATCTAATCAACATATACCCCAATAAAGACTCTGGGGCATCCTCTGCCTTCACTCTTCTTTTGCTCCCTGATCAATCCTGGTCCTTCCCCATGTGTCCTGAGTGGTGTGCTAGGCATTCCGTTTCAGAGGGATCTGTGAGCATAGCCTTTTTCTTCATGACAATCATTTCCACTCCTGTGGAATCATAGCAAGCCTCTGCAACAATCATAACCATACCTGATTAAAACAAATCCCAGGTCCATTTGTATGACAGATGCTGTGCTGGATGAGATTGCCTGTGAATCAGGCATTCCATAACCTCTGGGTAGCAGTGCTGGCTGAGGCCTTCGGGTTAAGAAAGCCAAACCCATACCTAGAAGAGCTGTCTATTCTGTGAGCATGCACTGCTGAACTTTTAGGACAGAGGGGCCCAATGTAATGAACTGATTGCTGTTTGGCCTCATCAGAGAATAGTGCCAGTGCAGGCAAAGATTTGGACTCTGTGCACACAGATTGGGCCTCAGGGCCACAATAGCTAAAATGTCCTTGGTGAGTGTGAATCCATATAGAGCCTCGGTCTCTGTCACCATGGCCACTTTGTTCATCCGCCCATTGTGCTGGCACAAGGGTAGCCACTGATGAAGGCTGGCTGACCTTAACTGGCTGAGTTGTTATGTCCCTGTGGGGCCTCTTCCATTCGGGATGTGCTCTTGCACTCCTGGTACTGAGTGCTGCAGCTGGGTACTCCAGCCAGGAGCTGTGAGACAGAGTGGGTGTGACGTTGTTTCATGGAGGAGTGACACCTGCAAATGGAAAAGGGGAAAGCAGGATTGATCAGGGGAAGGATCAGATGGCAATGTATATATGACAACATCTCTGCTGGTCAAATGGGGTGGCCACAGAGCAGAGACTGGACTTATACCTCCATCTTGTTGGTTACTGACTGAGACTTCTTCAAGAATGGAGTGACCTTCACTGCAAAATTGGGTGGGTCATGGTGAAGAAAAAAAGGTGGAGACTGTCTCCTGACCACATTCCTCACAGCAAGTTTTTTCTTTGAAAGGATCAGCAGTACATCTTCCTTT